TGTCACCACGCCTCTGCCCAGTGTCACCGAGCCTCTGCCCAGTGTCACCGAGCCTCTGCCCAGTGTCACCACGCCTCTGCCCAGTGTCACTGAGCCTCTGCCCAGTGTCACCACGCCTCTGCCCAGTGTCACTGAGCCTCTGCCCAGTGTCACCACGCCTCTGCCTACTGTCACCGAGCCTCCGCCTACTGTCACCGAGCCTCTGCCCAGTGTCACTGAGCCTCTGCCCAGTGTCACCGAGCCTCTGCCCACTGTCACCACGCCTCTGCCCAGTGTCACTGAGCCTCTGCCCAGTGTCACCACGCCTCTGCCCAGTGTCACCACGCCTCTGCCCAGTGTCACTGAGCCTCTGCCCAGTGTCACCGAGCCTCTGCCTACTGTCACCAAGCCTCTGCCCAGTGTCACCGAGCCTCTGCCCACTGTCACCACGCCTCTGCCTATTGTCACCGAGCCTCTGCCCAGTGTCACCGAGCCTCTGCCTACTGTCACCGAGCCTCTGCCCACTGTCACCACGCCTCTGCCCACTGTCACCAAGCCTCCGCCCGGTGTCCCGCCACTCACCGGCTCACAGGTGTGCCGGCTCTGCCGCGCTTTCCTCGTGAGGTGCCCGCAGAGACCCAGGCAGACTGCGGAGACCACAAGGATGCCCAGGTCAGGGGCCACCAGCCGGATCGTGTTGGGAATGTCCTTCAGGTCCAGTCTGTGGAGGGCAGGGAGGGCCTATGGTCAGCACGGGGGGGGGCAGGGCCGGGAAGGGGAGCAGCTGCCCCGAGAACACACAGGCTGGTCCGTGAGGTTCCAGAACCGCCCTTGGACTGAGAAGCCCCAGGCAGCCCACGGGGTCTTACCTTGTGACCCCGACATGTCGAGAGATGTTCTCCCAGCGGCTGCCTGCAGAGAGTGAGGGACCAGTCAGGCAGGACAGCAAGACAGCAAGGGTCTTAGATGCCTAGCCCCCCTCGGGTCTTTACTGATGGAGAAACGGAGGCCTAGCCGGGGGACGGCCGGTGGCTGGGGGGCAGGGCAGCGGTGCTGGGCCCGCGTGGGCGACGTAGCAGGGCAGGGTTGGAACTAGCCACGGCTGAACTTCAGGGTGCAGAGAGGCCCAGACATCTCAGTCGTTCATGAGCAGGGCAAAGCCTCAGGGCGTGGCCCCAGCCTGCGTGGCATTGCCGATGCCGGGCTGTGTGTGGAGGAAGCGTGGGGAGGGTCTGGCGTCAGACCCCGTCTTGTCTGGAGCTGAGGCTCGGTTCACATGTGGAAGGAAGGTGCTGGAGCCGCCCGGCTGCACAGCCACACGCAGACCTGTGCTGGGCCGGGCGCAGGGGCCCGAAGGCTGCCTTCACGCCTGGACGCCCCAGGCCCGGCTCAGCCCCCAGAAAACCTGCGCTGGACATAAACCGTGGCCAGACGTGATGGGTGAGGCTGGGGAGCCTGCCGGGGTCGGCTCAGCCTTCCCGAGCAGACCCGAGGGTCTGCCTGAGAGGCTACGCTGCTCCCTCTAGCCACAGACGCACAGACACTCGGACACACAGACATACCCCTGCCCCTGGCAACTCACAGCTTTGCTCCAGGAGCTGGTCCAGGCGGGGCACAGTGTGCAGACAGATCTGGAAGACCAGGTGAGCCGCCAGGAAGAGGAGGCTGAGGCAGAGCAGGGCCCGGAGGAGGCGGCCTGTGTGACCTGTGGCAGAGCAGGCTGGGGTGAGGCTGGAAGGGCAGGCAGGGACATGCCAGGGGCGCAGGCGACATGGAGGGGCAGGAGGACGGCCGTGGTGTCTGAACCACAGCCAACGTCTTCTGTGACCAGAGTGACAGGTACGTGGCACAGCCCTAGGGCACCGCGCCTCTCCTGGCAGCCATCGGACCTGACACAGATGAGGACACGGCACAGGCTGGGGAAGTGACCGGCCCCAGGCCGCACAGCGAGGGAGGGCAGCCCGACCCACAGCCCGACCCACGGGGCTCCTGTTTGCTCGCTGCTCTCTGGGAGCACAGAGAACAGGCAGGAAGAAGGCCCTGGCTCCTGGAGACACAACTGTTTCCATTGACCCAGCAAAGATCTACCTGCCTTGCAAACAGCAGGGAAGAAATAGATGCCTGCAATCTGGAGACTGAAGATCGTGAGTTCAAAGGCAGCCTCTGCTACAGAGTGAGACCTTGTCTCAGATAAGACTTTTTTTGGGGGGATCCGGTCGTGGGGCCTGAACTCTGGGCCTGGGCACTGTCCCTCAGCTCTTCAGCTCA